TCTTCAACCTCCCCACTAGACAATTTATTCCAGTGGTGCACTATCCTTACTGTTAGGAAGGTTTTATAATGTTTAAAATGAATTTTTCTTGGTGCAATTTAAGTCCATTACTTCTAGTTGTGTTAATGCACATGGAATACGGTTTGCTCCTTTCTTCTATGCAGCAGCTTTTTATGTATTTGAAGACTTGTTATGACCCCACTCAGTCTGCTCTTCTTAAAGCTAAACAATTTGTCCAACATGTATAAGGCCTGATTTTTAAAAGTGTTGAGCTCCTGCCATTCCCATTGCTTTTATTCAGGTGACTGAGAGTGAAAGAACTTCAGTACATCTGATGATTAAGCCGTATTGTCTGGTGCCCTTTAAATACTGATAGGTATGAAGGCCACAAATGCTGTTTATAGCTGTATATGTGTATTCTTGTCTTCACAATAAAAGCATATTTACAGGACCTGTGACCAGTCTTCTGACTGCATCCACAGAGCAAGAGCAACTTCAGAAAAAGCGCAGATTTTAGAGGAAACTTGGCTGCCTTATATGCCAGGATTTGCTGAATCATTTGGACTAAATAATTTTCTGTTCTTCATGCAAAACATATCTTGGCCAATGGTTTTTTGATTTATTTGAATGATTTATATGGCTACTGTCAAAACAGTGTTCATGATTATTTTTTAACTATTTGCTGTTGTTGGAAAATATATACTTAAGAAGCGTGAACTGAAATCCTTTTCCATCCCAAAACAGAGGGAGGTTTCTCCTATAATGGGCTTTTCATCAGGAGAAATGGTGATTTTTGTGCTTAGGGTACTGGAGCAGATTTCCACTTGGCATCACTTGGAAGGATGCTTTTATAGTGAATATGTGTCGTGGTTTAACCTCAGCCGGCAACTAAGCACCACACAGCCGCTCGCTCGCTCACTCCCCCCCCCAGTGGGATGGGGGAGAGAATCGGAAGGGTAAAAGTGAGAAAACTCATGGGTTGAGATAAAGACAGTTTAATAGGTAAAGCAAAAGCTGCGCCCACAAGCAAAGCAAAAGAAGGAATTCATTCACTACTTCCCATGGGCAGGCAGGTGGGCTCCATCACGCGTAACGGTGACTTGGGAAGACAAATGCCATCACTCCAAACGTCCCCCCCTTCCTTCTTCTTCCCCCAGCTTTATATACTGAGCATGACGTCACATGGTATGGAATATCCCTTTGGCCAGTTTGGGTCAGCTGTCCTGGCTGTGCCCCCTCCCGGCTTCTTGTGCACCTCCAGCCTTCTCAGTCGGTAGAGCATGGGAAGCTGAAAAGTCCTTGACTAGTGTAAGCACTGCTTAGCAACAACTAAAACATCGGTGTGTTATCAACATTGTTCTCATCCTAAATCCAAAACACAGCACTGTACCAGCTACTAGGAAGAAAATTAACTCTATCCCTGCTGAAACCAGGACAATATGCTACAAAATATGATGCTATTATCTTGCATTGGTGTTCCAGGGTGGCTAGAAATAAATCCCACTATACCTGCTCTTTATTTCTCAATTTCCATTGTAAATACAGATTCCTTTGTGTCCATGTAGGCCCTCATGAAATAGCTCCTTCATGTCATCGGAGGCTTTTGGCACAATTGTAAGGCAAGCAATAATAGCTCCTTGTATTGGTTCTCATAAATGTAGGGTTATGTATTCTGCCTTTATGGAGAAAAGAGTTTTTGAAATGTCGTATTTTCTTCTCCTAGACCCTCTCTCCTAGCCTTGAAAAATAATTTCCTCAGACAAATACAGAGAACATTTAGAATGATAAAGTAAAAATAGCCACTCTAATTTTGGGCTACCTGTCATTGCTTCTTTTTGGGGAAAAAAAAAATCATAGAAGGAGAAGAGAGTGAGAGAAAAAAGGAGGCTTTAAAGGTATTTCTCTGTGTTGCTTTTTCCTATCCAGCCATGTCCTTTATTTTTATTCATAAGATTTCATCAAACTGCTGGAAATAAGACTAATTGTGATGGACATTAAAATACTCAGGGACCGTGAGGTGTGAATACACAACTCTCCTAATCTTGTTCTGAAATGATAAACAAAAATAACACTGAATTTCACCATTGACAATAAAGCTGAAGTAGTGTCCTATGGTATATATATGGTAATAAACAATAATGTGCTAAAGATGGGAGTGCACAATCATACCAACAGTTTTATACCTAGCCAGATTATTTCCCTGTAAACACCTACATTTAATTATCCTGTCATCTACCTTCCCCTCCTCCATAGGCTTGATAATTCATCTGTTCTACGTGCAAAATATGGCTCTTCTCTTCTTACATCGCTCACTCAAAAACCCTGCCCTCCTCCTTCCAGACTCATACTAAATCTCCCATTGCTCAACCAATGGATTGAAATATTAAATTATAATCTTTATCATCTGTATTGATTGAAGGATATCCTGTTATTAGGGCCTGCCTGAGTTTGGTTGACACAAACCCATCCATTGCTGCTCTAAGAGTGCAGTAAATTTTACAGGCCATCCAGTTTCTCTGCCACACAAAGCAAAGGCACCAGCAAGGTCTTTGGGGACAGGTGAAAAACAGTAACAACAAAAGTTTAAGATGGCTAAAGGGTCCCTTAAGGCAAAAGGGAAAATAATTTGATAAATTTTAAATCCACATTGTAAATCTCGCCTATCAATTGCACAAAATTGGTTGGGGTGAAAGATAAATCATAGAATATTCCTTTACCTAATAATAGTATAGTATAAAACTACATGGTTTGGCTTTTTGATTGGTGGCAGGAGTAGGCATTAGCAACCTCAGCAAGAAAGTACACGTCCTCCTTGCTTAGTTAATGGATTAACTCTCTATGAGAAGTGAGAATATTTTGTCTGCAAAGAAGCTTTAAGTTTGTGTAAGACATCCAGTGTCTTGAGGGTTAGTTCTGAAGGTCTGACAGCCATCAGCAGCCAGGCACAGGCGGAGTACACTTCAGCTCACTGCATCTCAGTATCCAGACACAACAGTCATTGCTAGTGCTGAAGCCAAGGACTGCCCTGATCCTACGTCTGTCATCTGAAGCATTCCCCTTACTAAATGTAGCTTTTGGATTAGGTCCCAAAAGCCTACGCTTTTTTCACTTCAATCAAAGAAACCGGTTGAGAAAGTCAGGAGTGAATAACAGCCTTTATCCCGATCACAACCCAACAGTCTCACAGGCACTGAGATAGTGTCGTACAGAGATACCACATTTCTCAGTGAGCAATGTCTTAGCAAAAAGTGTCAAAGTATTCACTTAGGAAAATCTTTTGGCTAAAGCGTTCATAAATAGCTTCATTCTTTTGGTTCATGACATCACTACAATCCCTTAATGAAATTGCAATTCAAGGAGGCTAATTTGTGCTCTAATTATATATTAGTCTGGGCTGAAAGGTTTCTGGACAGAAAAAGGTTTTCTTCAGGCAATCTTTTATTCCATTGCAGTAAATTATTGCATTTACTTAACAAAGAGCACTCAGCTTTTACTGTGGTTTTTCATAATAGAGTTGAGCTGTAGTGTTACCTAGCTAAGGGCAAACATCTGCAGTCATTTTTGATGGATTCTAGTAACAGTCTTTAACAAGAGCAAGGTTTATTTGTAAATGTAGGAAGAAGCAGGCCAAAAAGCTAACAGATGTGCTGCTGAAAAAGTTTAAGAGCTCTTCAGCTGGAATGCCTTCCAGACCAGTGGTAGATTAGCAGCCAGGTAGTTTAAGGAAATTCAGAGAAGTACTTTCTCACCAATAAAGAAAGTCCCCATGGAAATCATTTCTCCTGTGTCACTAGAAAGAAGACATTTTTGGTTTGGTTTTTGATGCTTCTGCCACAAGATGAAAGCCCAGCATTGTTCACAATGTGCAGGATTCAGAGCATTTCCACCTAACTGAGGCTTTCTAAACAGAGAAGGACTTTAGGAAAGCAACGAAGTCCTTCAAAGCTATGGATCACCTTTGTAAGGTGTGTTTCTGTTTCTTCTGCTACCTAAGGTAGACACCCTGTTGATGTTGGTCCTCAGCAAAGTACGCATAGTTTGTCAGGAGGAATTCAGCCTAAACAAACTGAACAACAAACTAAATAAACTAGCTAAACTAAATAAAACACGTATCTTCTATATATCCCTGTTTCTAGTGTTTGTGTTAACAGCAACTTTTTCCTATAGATAAATCCTGAGCCAAACTTTGAGCTAGTATAAATCAGTATCAGTTCTCATTTTGCTGAATCTGTTCTGGCATTTAATGCAGAGGCTGATCATGGCACTGGAAGTAAATTTCTGTGCCATCTACTATCTGAACGATAAGCAGAAACTGCAGGTAGAAGGAGCTACACTTAGTATGAATGTGAGTAAGAAGGATTTCAAATAGGGTTCTTATTGTTTCGATAATAGCTTCCTGTGCACACCATAAAGGTTTTCCAAAAATCAAATCAATGATTTCTAGAAGAATTAGAAGCAGTTGTAGTCTCTTGTGCCATCAACGCTTGAGCTTTCTCTGAGACTTCTGGTTCCGCGTCTGTCAGGGAGAGGAAACAAGAGGAGGTGAGCTGATGTTCTCATCCATCAGAGCAGTTCTCATGTCCCTCCTCCCAGGGCTGGCTGCCTCCAGCTCTCACCCTCCTCCCCCATTCCCAGCTGGACCAGCTCAAGCCTCCCGCATTTCCAGCTCTGCAGTGCTCGGGCACCATTGCTGGGAAGCATGGCCAAGGAGCACTACACAGGGGCAGAAACCAGGAGGGGCATGTGTTTGGTATTTGCACGTGCCAGCTGCAATAAATCTATTGCAGTTCTGTGAATTTTGGTGGGGTTGTAGAGTCAGGAAAAACAAAAAAGAAACAGACTTGATGAGATGTTTTCACCTGAGAAAAAGTATGGAGTAGATCAGGATGCACTGACAAAATACTGATTTTATATGTCTCTTCTGTTTTCCTCTAGAAAAAGTAAGCATACTGTCAACCTTCATAGCGCCCTTCAAGTATCTGAGTCCTGGTGCAACCACCATGGAGGATGAAGACAACTTAAGTAAGCAGTCTCTTTTCTCTATAGACAGATGAATAATAAAGTTTAAAGATAAAAGCTCTACAGTGTAAGGGCAATCATGGAAAGGAAATGGATTTGCAAATATTGGCAGGCCATAAGTCCAGTCCTCACGTAAAATGCAAAAATTCCCTAATGCTGAGTGCAAACATGTTCTCCAATCTCCAGCAAAGAAAGGGTTAATCTCAGCTCGCCTTCCCACTTTTCCCTGTGCAGACCCTGGCGTGGTGGGGCTGTAAGTGGTGTGTCACAAATACAAAGGAAAAACTTCTTACAAAAAGGAGATGTTTACAAGCAGGTTTACAGGACTGTGGAGCTCCTTTTCCTTTCCTGTTTACATTACCTTATTTTGCTCACTTGCTTTTCTCACAGTCCCTAAAAAACAGGACATTTTGGTGCTGTGTCTTCCCCCCATTTATATTTCCTTGATTACAAAAGGACTTTTGCAAAAGTAAAGACTGCAGGAACAAGCCCTCTACTTGAAAAACTGTTTTCTCTTTTACTTCTGTGATATGACCTGGAGAACAAAACAAAACAAAACAAAACAAAACAAAACAAAAGAAAGAAAGAAAGAAATCAATCAATCAATCAATCAATCAAATCCAATTGAGAAGACATGATTAACCAGGCTAATAATAAACTAGATGTAACCCAAAAATTAGCCACTGGATTCTCTTGGGCCCTTACACCTGAACAAAGTCAGTGGCACTCCCTGAACCCGTTACTGCAGAGCTGGAGGAAAGTGCCGTTGGGTTTGAAGGAGTTGTGAGGTCTTCAAAACACCGAGAAGTCTGGGAGTGTGCAGTTAGGACTGAATAACCCTCAGTAAGCCCTCCCATTTATCACCTAGAAGTAATTATTGTGTGTTATCCAGCCCTGCTTGTTGTAACTCATCTTGAATCATTAAAAAAAGGGAGGGAAGCTTTCTGAACCAAATGAGCAACTCTTGAGTTTTAGTATCACCTACCAGATGGGTTTCTTTCCCAGCCAGACACACACTGACATGTTGCCCTATTACAGCCAGTGGGTGGGAGGAATGGGCTTTTCTTCCCCGTTGTTGCTAATCTGCCTTGGTTTGACCATGGTGCGGCACCGAGGGGAATAGCTGTTGAAGGAGTGAAGTAGCACAGCCCTCTATTTTCTGCTCCTGAGTATCACGTGGACATCACAGGGACCGGTAGGTTTTTACGTATCTTAGCAAAGGCAAAAAAAATCCTGAAAATCCTTCAAAATTGGTCTCAGGGAGGCTACATTTTCAGGAAGAGATATGAGAAGTACACACAGGAAACATACTATGCACACGATGAGCTTGTGCAGGCACCTCCTGCGTAATGTTTCCCAAATGTGCTACTTAGTTATTTTTAGGTAATGTAGGAAGTTTGTACAAGTCAAACACTGTAACACCATTTTCTTATTGCTGCTGTAATGCCAAGACTGCTTCGTGCCGGCACTGGCTTTAAAATAGCTCACATGGACAGGGTAAGCTGTGTTTTCTGAAAGAGAAATAGCAAATTTCGCTCTTTTCGGGGACATCCTGCCTAGTCCTCTCTTGGGTCAAACATACACTCCAGTGATAAGGCAGCGATCTGTTTCTTGGCACATACAACATATTTTTAGGTGTTACTATTAGAATCTTTTTAAAAAAAAAGGTGAATTAATTTAAAATCAGCCATATTTCAATGTTCACTTCTAGTGTAGTGGTATAAATCCCAGTAATTTCTATAGCACACATGTACCTGTGTAGTCATTCGGCATTTTAAAGAGCTTCAGTGATTTACTCTGAATAAGCAAAATCTTCCTCTGTGCTAACAATTTGACAGCAGCCTAGGAGTATGCTGGCAAGGTAGAGAAGTGGTTTGCTTATCCCTGTAGTTTTCTGCTCACTGAGCATCCTGTGAGAGTGCCCCTTCCTGGACTGTGCTATATTGATAGGCAGAGTCCTACCAGCTGAAATGGATTCAAATCCTGTTTCACATTCCTTTAGGCCTTCTTTACAAAGAGAGCCATGCCAGGTTAACTACACATGCATTTTCAACTGGTGATTATTAGCATATAGACACTATTATTGTGGTTTATGAGCCATGAACTAATACTAGAAAAATGTATCGAAGGCAGTAGGCACCTTTGGAATGGCATTTTGGGTAAGCTAATCATCAGTCTCTGATGAAGACCTTATCTTGAACATGTGAGAAAAGGACCACCCTATTAATTCCCAGAAGTCAAAGTTAGCTAAGAATGTAAGAAATGTCACACGGGATTAGAAATAGGAAGTTTAGGTCTGTACACTCTCTTCAACATTTGCTGTTAGTGATGCATTGAGAAAAAGGACATTTAAATGGTGATCTTCCCCCTGGTATATCTTTCTAGCACCCAGCAAGAAATTTACTCAGCTAGATTTTGCACCTGAATCATCATATTTCTTAGATATCAACAGACCTGTCTAGTCCTCTCCAGAGCCCACTGATACTTCTGATCTCAACAACAGCCAGGAACAGGGAGTTCAGTGATTTAGTGTGTTGTCAAAAAGTGCACCCTTTTATTGCTTAAAGCCTGCTGTCTCTAGTGCTTGGATTGTATGAAACAGAGAATAATCATTCCCTGTTCACTGCCTGCCTGCCTGCCTGCAGGTTGTTACACACCTCTGCCTGTCCATGTTCTTTAATCGTTCCATCCACACTATGCCACGGCCTCAAGGCAGACTATCACCAGACACAAGTACTTGCAAATCTAGGGTGTACCTCTAGTAGGAGCATATGATTCCTGGGAATCTCATTGTGCAATACTGCCATATGCACAGATTCGGTGCAGCACCCTTCTGGAGGTGTACACCTCTCCCCAGTGCCTGCAGAGGGAGCTGATGGTGATGGTCCCCAACATATGGATTTCAGCCACTGCAACAGTCTTGTAGGATAAATCCCAGCCCCAGCTTCAGTATATTGAGGCGTGTTCAGTTATGAGCATTTTGGTCAAAGTCCCCCTCAGGCAGCATGAGGCACCAGAGCTTTTGATTGCACAGTGTGAGATACAGCAGGGACCCTGCCTCTAAGAGGACAGTGAATATCCCCTTCCAGCAGGCAGAGCCCCAGGCAGTCCCCCACAGAATCAAACCCCTTGTTTTTGTTTTGAAAACTGTCTATTGCCATTGTTTGGATTTCTCCCATGCCTAAAGCTAAGCTATAGCCTGGTCCTGATTCAGGAAGGCATGTACTTAGATCTGTTTCTGCCGTGGGCTGCCCAAGTTTTTTGCCATGTGCACTTATTTGCTAACTTGGACAGAGAGCATCAGAGTCTGAGTATCATCTAAGTCAGGTCATTAGGTCATTTGAATAATTTCCCTAACTGGTAAAAGCTGTACTAGATGTGCATGGATTTCACAGTTATTTCAGATAACAAGGTGGGCAAAGTAGAGTATCTTCATTCTGGAGCAGCTAAAGGCAATGGCAATCACCTTTCACAATTTTTCCATCTTCACTTTAAGCAAAGTCCTATACTTTTTTGCACTGGTAATGCTTCCCTTCACAGTGTGGTGTTACACACCAATAAAGTCTAATGATATTGTTTTAAACAGCCTGAACCCTGTGAGCTGTCAGGGAGTGTTCAGGAGCAACAGAGGGATCATGGCAGGTTTCCCTTAAGTAGACTTCTTTCGGGAAGATTTAAAAGTACATATCTGTGTGTTTTCATGTAAGAGAGGAAGGAGTGATTTCTGTTGTTAGATGCAAGTTTATTATTCTAAAGTCAAGAATACAAACCTAAAAATCCCAGCAGAAGAGTTCCCAATCCTCCATTGTGGATTCAGTAAGTGTATGAAAATGCCATTTTGCTGGCAAGAGGAGACTGCCCTACATTGCATTTGATGTAGTAGCTGACCTTGGACAAAGGTACCGTGGCTTTGGCTCCTCGGTTCATACCTATTGCTTCTGATTTAAATTTTTTCACTTTCAAGTATGCCAGGAATTATGGAGGTCAATCCTTCTAACCTCTGCAGTCAATGTGATGTAGATGGACAGCAAAATGTACTCTATATAAGCAGGTCAAACAGAGGTTAGATATTAAAATGCAGAAAAATAAAAATTGTCCTACCTGTGTTGTTGTAAATGCATTGGTAGCAATCTGGTGTTTACTAAACATTTCTAAAGACAGTAACTTCCTGTGTCAGAGCTATCAGTTGAATCAGAAGTTTGCTATACTACAGAGACTGCTGATTCTTTCTTTCAATATCGTAGCTTTTCAATAATGTTCTGCCCCTTGTAATTCAATAGTAAAGATGCCAGCCAAAATGAAGATGCCACCTACCACCTCTCCTTTCCCATCCTCCCTGGAAGTTGGCTTGGCAGCAGAATAACCTTCAACAGGAACAATATTATCTCTTCAAATGTAGCGTGGAGTATCGGATGGCTAGTTCTGCAGAGCCCTTATGACCCAGAGACATAGGCAGTGTCATTATTAGTGATGCATTATAGTTCTGAAAAGCTCTTGATGATGCAGACTCTCTAGGTTAACTCTACTGTGCATAATGACCAAAAGGAGAAAAACATGAAAGAGCAGACAGAAGACTGAGGAATAGTGCATAAATAAATATATTTCACTAACTGCTTTCCTCTCTCCCATTCAATTACTGAAGCAAATACGAGATTACAATGTCTCCTCTTGCTTGTGAAACTGCAAAAATCAAAGAATAAAGTTACCTGAGGAGGTATTACAGTGCAGAGTTGTGGGGCTTTTTTAGAAATCTTACACAATAAATTAGAAATTATTGCAAAAAAATTATAATGTTTTTCTTTCTCCTTTTTTTTAACTCCCTCCCCTTACAATTTTATTATTCTCCAACTTTTCATCATAGGAGAACCATATTTTATTATCTTTTTTTTTTTTTTTCAAAATGTAGAGAATGTGTTTTGGGAACTCAAGGGCAAAGACATTATGAGAGATAACAGGACTGAAAATGATCCACAGTTTTGCATTTTCCCTGTGTGCATCCTCTGACTTACCCCTTTCCTTTTAGTGCTCTTCATTTCCAAAATTGCTTGTGATTGTTCTATTACAGCTGCTTACAGTATTTATCTTACATAGTTTGGTGTCATTTGCCTGCTTTGTCTGATTTTCACAATAGAAGTACATGTGCCACCATTAGAGAAGTAATCTTATGTCTGCTACACAGAGGTCTCATAAAAGACACATTTCAAAGACCTCCTATTTCAAAGATACTTGAAAGTGGAAAGTAATTTCACATTGCCCGGCGGCTGCCAGGCATCACACAAGTCCATCAGGCTCACAGACTTTCTGAGGCACTCACTGAATTTAGGCTGCCTCTGATTTGCATGCCGTGATGACTTTTGGCCTGCTGCAGCTCTCACTGAGGTCTGTGAAGAACTGAGCTATTTCCTGGTGTTTCAGGATCAGGTCCTCTAGAAATCTGGTTGACTGTAAGGATACTTGCATGGATTTCCTTTGCTGTGACTAGGCCAAAACATACAATAAATAGAGGCACATCACCGTCGTGCACGCCCAACGTTGTCTGCGTATCCTTTGTGCCTGATCTCTGGAAGTTTTACACTTGCATCTCTGCATTTTTTTCACTACAACGATGCAAACTCTCTGTTGACCAAAACCTGGACTAGACAATTTCATAGGCAGAATTTAAGATAAACAAGTAATGTTTATTTTCTGTTGCCATGGTTTTAGTTAACCACTGTTTTATTGAGGGTGATTAAGGTAAGATGTTAAGGTCACACATTCTTGTTCAGAAATCTGTGGTTCTCTGACTATGAAAGAAAATCAGCTGGAATAAGACAATGTGAATTATAAATACAAATAACCCTTCAGTTTTCCTATTCAGTGGTGCATAATCAATACAAATTATTTTCAAACCTGAATATTGTGTGAAGCAAGAGCTATCCTTCTTTTCTTGCTTCCTGACTACAATATCATTATGTACCATAATTGGCTCTGTAAAAACCTATTAGGTAAGACGAGAGAGGAGGTGTGAAATACAGAACCAAACCTGCTTCCTGCTACAAAGTATGTCTGAGTCAGAATATTTCACCTTCATTTAAAAAAATGCACACAAGCAAAGAGGGGTATTCTGAGTGGGATGGAAACATGAGAAAGGGTGACAGTGGAAAATGGCTGGCCAAAGCCACTGCCAGGCTAAATAGGGGAAAGTTAAAATTGGCATATCCTTCCCCTTCAGATCAGAGTTTCCATAAGCAGAGTTGTGAACTCAATGAGAAAAGACCACATTATCCTTGTGTCTTAGTTAACCTGACCTTTTAGATGTCTTATTTCCAGAGAGGCTGGTTTAAAGATGTCATATTTTATACAGCTGAATGCCATATGATGAAACTTTTATTTTTCTATTATGTATTTCTTTTTCTTTCCTTCCTCACCTGTCTTCATTCTCTCCCCTCAGCTTCAGAAAGTAAAAATTAACTAGTCACTAAGACCTTAATTTGTCAGTTCACGTTCTACCTCAGCAAAGCACTGCAGTACATAGCTCTGCAAGTAACTTTGATGAGACATAGACACAGGCTGGAAGTTCAGTGTGTGCTGAAGGGCTTTCAGGAAAGGGAGCCTAAAAACTCAGTCCTGCAAATGGGCCCCCACACATGCAATCAAGCCATGATTTTCACTCATGTCTAAGCAGTGAGCTGTTTGCTGTGGAACAACGTGCATGAATGCAGACTTATTGCTCTGATGGGAAAAAGTCTTTTGATATTTAATACAAGTGCAACTAATCAGGATATAACGTAGGTTTTTAATCATGATGGTTGGTTCCACATAATTCCATGCAGGCTCCTGTGCATCTGTCAGCCCAGCCTAATACTGGGCTGCAGCAAAGACACACCACTCCAGTAGAAGCTCCTCGAGGCGTAGCCGGCAGCTCACCCATTACATCCTTGCAGCCAGCTTGTACATCAGGGTAGAGAGGAAATCAAATATGGCCATGGCTCCGCAGAAAGTGGGAGGACCATTCTCTGTCCTCTAAGGGCCACAGGGACCTTCTCTGTGCTTGGGACTCAGGCAGCCTGCACAGGTGGCATGCTCGTGTCTGACAATAACAAGCCATGGGAAAGGCTCCACGCTCAATGCTGGTTGGAATACAGCAGGCAGCCAGGCAGTGCTCTGCTTAGAAAGGGATCAGGTGCATCGCTCCAGGGACGGGTTGCTTCACAGATTGGTTACACTCATGTTTACTTCCTCGACTTGTCTCTGCCCCAAGGAACGCACAGGAGGACTGGAGGATGTATCAGAGATGCAATACATTCAAACAAACTCATCAGAAATGACAGAAATGTTATAGGATGCTTATTCAGACAGCAGCACTTTTTCTGTCTCATCCAGGACATCAGTGAGATGCATCTCCATTCTCAGTCATGCGTCTGCTGTAGCAAAGAGCACTGCCTCACAGCATGGGTGTTGCGCAAGCGTAGTTCAGAGCAATGTGTGATTCATTGGCTCAACAACAATGGAGTGCTCCCTCCATAGCTCCTCACTGTCATTTCATTCCCTTCCTGGCGCTTCTGGTAGTCACTCTCGCCCATTGCTTTACTTTGACATAGATCATTCTTTACATCAGTAATTATTCCCATCATGATGCTCTGGCTTTTCCTAGTCTCATTTAGATTTATCTAGAATTTTTGCAATATTAGTTGTTGCTGATGCAGGAGCTAAGAGTATCTGCAATTGAATTTGACAGAAAGATGCTCACATATTAAACTGGAATCTAAGTCCAGACCAAATTATTGTTTCAAATGCTAGGAAGGTCTGTCAGATCAATTCTTAGGCTGGATTCATGATGTTAGCAACACAAGAACCTATGGTGTGAGTAGAGCCAGTCAATGTATTCATTGCAAATAGATTATTAAATGCATTCGCCCATTTTTCTGTTTGTGAATCATTTGTGAATCATTTCTGATTTCTAATAATGTGTTCATAAGCGTTCACCCACATGGATTATACAACAAATCTCAGACTAAGGGAACTTCGCAAACTATTCACTTTTATTAGTAATTATCCAGTGTATGCATTAGTTCATTTAAGTTACGTGGCATCAAGTTATGCTTCATCTTTGAATGATATAATCTTTTTTTAAAACAGGAAGCTAGTGACTAATACAAGTAGAACTTCAGGGACAAGTAAACATTCAGGACATGCAGAAAATGTGTGCTATAAATAATAAACCAACCATTATACAGATATTTGAGGAAAACCCCCAAAAATGGCTGAGCACGGATATCTATCATCAACTTTTTTTTCTTTTTTGGCTATTCTGCCAGCCCTAGGCATAATGTCAGCTACTATGATGACAACTGTAATGTGAGGTTTTTTTCTTTCTTTACTGACAGGTACCAGCAGTGCAGAAGTAAAGGAAAATCGAAATATTGGCAACCTGGAGGATCATCCAATATCCTCTAATGAGAGGGCAAGAGGGGGAACACCTAGCAGTAAGAGAAAAAGACCCTTAGAGGAAGGCAATAATGGCCATTTCTGCAAACTCCAGCTCATCTGGAAGAAAGTCTCGTGGTCAGTGACGCCAAAGAACGCTCTGGTTCAGCTACATGAACTTAAACCAGGTTTACAATATAAAATGGTTTCCCAGACAGGTCCAGTGCATGCTCCAGTCTTTGCTGTTGCTGTGGAAGTAAATGGTCTTACGTTTGAAGGCACGGGGCCCACAAAAAAGAAAGCCAAAATGCGTGCTGCGGAGCTAGCTCTGAAGTCATTCGTTCAGTTCCCCAACGCCTGCCAAGCTCACTTTGCCATGGGGAACTGCATCAATCCATCCACAGACTTTACTTCTGATCAGGCAGACTTTCCAGATACTCTGTTCAAGGAGTTCGAACCATCTACACACAGCAAGGACTTTTCAGTCTATAACCCTGTTAATAACGAATTGCTTTCCACTGCTTATCGACACGGGCGCTTACTCTGCCATACGCTGGACTTAATGGGCCACAGTAAGCAAAACAAGCACAAGATGGCATCCAAAGCGGAGAGCGAGAAGAACCCGGTGGTGCTGCTAAATGAGCTGCGGTCGGGTCTGCGATACGTCTGCCTGTCAGAGACAGTGGAAAAGCAGCACATCAAGAGTTTTGTGATGGCAGTGCGAGTGGATGGGAGAACATTTGAAGGCTCAGGACGTAGCAAGAAGCTGGCCAAGGGTCAAGCAGCGCAGGCGGCCCTGCAGGCCCTCTTTAACATTCGGCTGCCCAGCCACATTCCCAGCAGGAGTAAATGTCACCATTTGCCACAGGTGAGAGCTCCTGGGTAGCCACCACCACGTTGGAGGAACTCTTTCAATGAATGGGATTGGTATTGCTGTAGCTGTTGTTGTTCTACCAGGTGGTTCCTCTGAACCATGGCAAGTGCCATGCCACAAAATAGCTCTTTTCTCACAGAAAGAGCCAGATGCCACAGGCTTAAGCTTGAAAATCAGATCCTGAAATCACTGGGTACAATTTGCAGCCCTTTCCATAGGAGGCATAGATGAGAGGGCAAAATGTAGGGGGAAATACCAACGTTTCAATTTGCTAGAGAGAATGATAATATTGACACAGGCAGAAAAATGAGGTCATTCTGTGCTACTCCATCTTTCTTGACAGAAAGGAGCCCATAAACAAAGGGATGCCCCATATCCTCCTTTTAGAGTTAATTTTTGATGAGGACAGTGCCATTCAGAGGGGACAGCAATGACAAGGAATGTGCCTGTGTCAGAGCAAACTCTCCAGACAATTCAGCCACTAGAAAAGTTAAGGATTTTCGTTTAATATAGGCTTACTTTTGGGGTTGGTTTTTTTTTTTGCTTTCAAATGTGCACAAGGGATAGTGAAAGCTCTGAAGTTTTCCTGGAACAAATGTAGAGATTAATGCTGTATTCATACAGAAAATAGAGATCTGAGGTACATACTTAGCACATCAAAATTTCATAGTTGGTGATATGCCAAAGGCTGTCTCAGCATTACTCAGACTTGTGTCAATTTTCTAAGTTCAAAGGAAACCAGAAATTGCAGACATCAGGAGGCATTACATGGGTTCAAGTAATTTCTTGATTTGTTTGTGCTATCATAAAAGGTTTGATCCACCAGCACCAGGAGGTGATCTACCGCTACAAAGCTCCCTTTATGAAGGGAGCTGTTAATGTCCAGGATTTAATGCAAAGCACTGGGAGCACTAAAAGTCATTCTGCTGCTGGCCTGCTGTGAGACCCTAGGCAAGTCATTTAAATCCAATATGCCTGTAATAAAAATGAGCATATTATGTGAAAGAACACTTAAAGATCCTTAAGTAGTGTGTAAATGCAAATTATTAGTAGCAATTCTCATTAACATTAGTAAAGATGTTCATTAGATGCTCAAGGAGTTTGATAGGAGATGAATTCTTTAGGTGACATGATTGCCTGCAGGACCCAGGAGTTATATTTGGTGACCCAGAAGTTTCCTTCCTATGTTTCCAAAAAGGAAACATGAGAAATGTAAGAAATTCTAAAATACATCGTAATCCTCCACCTCTTCCTTTTAATTCTGCTTTGTAAAATCCATGAACCAGTGGGATAATAACATAATTTAATAACAGCAATGATCTTCACAGCGTGCTTTGCAGGCACTTTGGAAGCCTTGGCCAACCTGGCAGTTCCATCCTCCCAGTACTCCTCTGAAGTACGGATAGTTTTAAATGAGAAATCTATGCTGTTTCCTGCCCAAATTAATTCTGGTTAAAAGTAGTTTGTTTTGATGAATATGCCTATTTTTCCTCATGGAAACCTAGCACTTGGATATAAAGAGGAATCTCTAGTCCTGACCTGCTGGCTGCTTTGCTGCCCCCAGTGAACTTTGCTGGATGGGTCGGCAGGTAAATACCATGCATTCATCAACCCATGGTTTGTTATATTCTGAAACTGCACCACAAGTCTCATTGCCTCAGTTCCTGAGCTCTGAAATATTCCCCGGTTGCTTGGCTTCACAATCATCTTCTACCTGAATATCACATCTTACCTGAGTCCCCAGTTGTTCACTAGGCAACACATTCTTCAGTGTATATTCTCTTTTTTATGGCCTTTTCTCCTTTCTGTAAACTTCTGCCCTCCTTATCTTCTTCTCCTCACTGTTCTGGAAGTATAAATGTCAGTGAAAAGGTGTCACTGAACTTTCTGTCAGTATTTTTTGACTGGTTATGTATTGTCCAACTAAAAGATTACTCAGGCACTTTTAATGCCAGCATTCAGCACATTAATTGAGAGATAAGCCTTAACACTGATTTCTGCTGACCTCCTTACTAGCTGCTCTCATCAACAGACACAGCAGCCGTGACACAAAACCCGAGTTTGTGTTACTCACTTAAGCCATAACCCAACTTCCACTGAAACCAACAGATACATTTCCACTGACTTCAGCTGGGCTATAGCTTAAGCATTAAATCCAGAAACATCTTTACTTGTTCTCGCTGTGTTATGCAGTATCTCATCTAGTGACTGTCTTTGCTCACTGCTTCAGTCAGCCAACCTGGCTGTTTGGTCAGTTGAAGTGCTAGTAACCGTATTGAGGAGAGTGTAGTTCTCATTGAGCTGTGGTCAGAGCCAGCTGCTCCAAAAGTTATTTCAGCTCCTTCTTGTCTCTCTGATCTTCTGTGAACCACATTTTCAAGGACACATTTCAAGCCAAGTTTTCAAAGGTATTCCTACTTAGTAGGCTCAGCTTGGTTTGTGTCCAAGAATGTTTAAAAGCAGGAGAGAACCCTGAAACCCAAACAGTCAAAATATTAGGGGGGGTGATTTTTTCACAGAATAAGGAGTAACTATTGTCCTATCCAACCATTCACTCTTTTCATGTGCTTCATCATATTTATTAGGATATCAGATAGCTAACTCATTGATAGTAGGGACAGGCAAACAAGATCAGTTGTAACAGTTTCATCTGTATTTTTAGTATTTTGTAGAATCCAGGAGTATCTTTATCTCTGTGGTTGCCCTTTACAAAGAGTATTCCAACTTTGCGTGTCTCTGCTACTGTTCCCCTTGCTCTTATCAGTGGTGTTAGGAGGCCAGAATTTGGCTGTTCCTGATTATAGCCTGACTGGAAACAGGGAAAGCCAAAAGTCTTGTAATACTGGTAGTCCACTTGTGCTGAACTTATGGATTTCACAGTGCCCAAGAAAGTTTTCAAAAAAGTTCAGATGTCCTTATGAGCTGGGCTTCCCGACCATTGATGTTTCTGCCTTGCTCATCAGGGCTCCCAGGGGACCTGGCGTCCCTCAGCCTGGGCCTCGGGCATGTCCTCGGCCTGA